GGGATGTCAGGGGCAGTGCGTGATGCTCTCCCCAAAGCTGCTCCTTGTAGAGCTTAGAGGTGGGAGTGCTGTGTTTGCAGGTGTCCCTGTTTGGGGACCGGTCAGACATTGAGCATTGATGGGGACAGCAGGGACAGTGGCTGCTCTGTGTGGCACTGAGAGCCCCCAGTCCCGTGGCAGGTTTAACAGGGCATCCCTGATCAACGTGGGCTTCCTGGAGAGCGGCAACGACACCGACTACATCGCCATGCACGACGTGGATCTCCTGCCCCTCAACGAGAACCTGGACTACAGCTTCCCGGAGGCAGGGCCCTTCCACGTGGCATCCCCCGACCTGCACCCTCTCTACCACTACAAGACCTACGTGGGTGGCATCCTGCTGCTCACCAAGCAGCACTACGAGCTGGTGAGCTCCTGGGTGGGATGTCCTGGAGAGTTTGGAGCAGGAGCTGTGACATTATCATGGTGAACTTGGGAAGTGGGGACCGGAGTCAAAATGGTTTGGGGACAGAGCCTGTGGTCTGAGCTGCTGGGGGGCAGGACAGGGGAGGCTGGGCTGGGGTCTGCTCCTCCGAGGCTGTGGAGTTGTGCTTGACCTTGGCTGGTATGGTGCTGTTCTCATTCCAGTGCAATGGCATGTCTAACCGCTTCTGGGGCTGGGGACGGGAGGACGATGAGTTTTATCGGCGTATCAAAGGAGCTGGTCTCCAGGTAAGGGGTCTCTGCACCCTCCTGGTTTGAAATTGCCCTTTTTTGTGTCTCTTCACCTGGCTCCCACTGTGGCCACCCAGGTTTGGGGTCTGGGGAAGGCAGCCCTGTGCTCCAACAGGAGTTTTCCAGCAGCTTTACAGAAGCTCTGCTCCTCTCCCAGGTTCGTCGTCCCTCTGGAATCACAACTGGATACGAGACTTTCCAGCACCTGCATGACCCAGCCTGGAGGAAGAGAGACCAGAAGCGCATCGCTGCGCAGAAACAGGTGGGACCTGTGGCCACGGGGGATTTGGGCTGTGGTCACCACATGCTCGGAGCCCTGGTGCTCATGTCCTCCTCTGCCAGCTCTGGCTCCCTCCCCAGGCACTGGGTGCTTCCCCCTTCCAGCCTGGGCTGAGCAATCTTTCTCTTCCTCAGGAGCAGTTCAAGGTGGATCGGGAGGGAGGCCTGAACAACGTGAGGTACCGAATCGAGTCACGGACAGATCTGAGCGTGGCAGGAGCCCCTTGCACCGTCCTTAATATCTTGCTGGACTGTGACACAAACGAGACCCCCTGGTGCACATTTGGCTGAGCCCGTCCCTGTGTGCCAGTCGTGTGCTCTGTGCTGGTGCCAGGACTCCGTGGCTGCCGTGGAGCTGCCTGGAGCAGGCAGGGTTTTTGCAGTGGATGAGCATGGCAGTGCTGG